TGAATATAATTCTCCATCACCAAATCTTTATGCTCCTCAAAATATACGACCTACATCAAATAGTCGAACAAAAACAACGTCACCTATGTCCGGAACTAATTTTAATATTCGACCTCCTCTTATTCATGGTGCTCCAGATTCTCAAAATTCAAGTGGACAAGATTCTGGTTTAAGTTCTGGTGGTGCTAGTTTTGATCCTGAACAACATCATATATATAATATAGGTAATCCAACAAATATAATACGATCAGCAACACCAACTATTGATGTATACGATGTTCCACAACCAATTCCTCTACCTAAACGAAAATCCTTACCAAGTATTGTTAAAACTCTACCTGGTGATTATAAAGTTGATGAAACAGCTCGATCAAGTGATAATTTAAAAGAAAAAGAAACATTTATTATTGAAAATGGTATACGTAAACGTGTTACAGCACAAGTACCAACTTATACAGAAAGTGGTTCAATTATACCACAAGGAACAGTAATGACGAGTAGTAGTGGTTCGCCCATACTTGCTCATCGTGTTATACTTGAAAGTGTTACAAAATTAAATGAACCTAAATCAACTATAACTAATACCGGTGGAAATAAACGTGGCAGTATGCCGACAGTCGTCAATATAGCTCGACATCGACACGAAGCTCCTAGTAAATTTATTTAAGAAAAAAAAAAGAAATTTCTTTTTGTTTGTATTTTCTCTTGCTAAGGTATATCAAGAGAAGAAGCATCAAAGCTTGGTTCTCAACGACGTGAAGAATTACGACGTCAGCGTGATTTCGATTCAACAGCTATTGGTCGTGTTAAAGCTTTATTACAGGTATGAGAAGAAAAAAAGCCAATTTTGCATGTTAAATAAATCTATGTCTGGTAGTTTAAATATCCTTTTTGGCCTGAGATTATATAGATAGATAGATATATTTATCCTATTTTCGAGTAAAATAGACGGTAAACTAAAAATTCTCATCCATCATTGTAAATCAGTCATTAAGTTTCTGTCTGCTTGTGTGTTGCCTACCATTTGCAATTGATCTTTTCCTTTTATCCTTGTATGTTTCTATCCTTATGATCTATTAGAAATAAGTATTCGCCTCGTTGAATCCCAGTAATGTTAACTGCTGTCGATGATTAACATCGATTGCATGCATATTAACGTATATTTGAAAGAAGCATTAAAAGAGTAATAGGGCAAAGAAAAAAAAAACGAATAAAGAAAATTTCTCGAGTTCGATGAATATTAAAAATGTATCATGGGAAAGATTGATCAATAAGTTATATCTCGAGAGATCAAAACTTGTTTTGCATGTGCATGTTTTGCAGTCTGATATTCCTGCTACTGGCCCAACCATCGTTACCAATATGCATGTATCTACCCAAGAGATATCGATACAAACAGACGATTATAATGATGGCATTCAGGTATAAGATTTATTTTCTTATTAATTATAACTATATATGTTATTATATGAATATCTTTTGTTTTATTTTTTTTCTAGAATGTCATCTATCGAAATCGAGTGTTTATTGCCATATTTTTTCTAAATTTATCCCTTGCTCTTTGGTTTATTCAATTGTTGAGATGATATGATGATGTTTGTTACCCATTATCGTTCGGTTTTTTTTTCTGGCTTTTTTTTCTCATTCTCTCCATCTTGTCTTCTTTTTTGTGCGTATCTCTATGTATACAGCTCAAGGTTTTCTGTAGCCTACTGCAACTAATACTATTTTACAGCCGATAAACAACAAACAACGAAGATCTCTTCCTTTCTCCTCTCTTCTATTCTTTCATCGCATATATGTGTGTGTATGTGTCTGTATGTATAGCAAAGAAAGAAAAGATTATTGTTTTATTAAGATACGACAATAAGATGATGATGATGATGATGGCGATTTTAGGATTGTTATTTTGTTGCGAGCACACCATGTCCTTTCTTCTTTTATTTCTTATTGATGCACTTCCGTATATGACGCGAGGGGGGTTGTATAATGCACTCATTTTTTTTTCCTATCTTTTACGCTCTCTTGTTCCTGTATGATAGACACAAACAAAGGAAAAAAGAGAAAAAAAACTTGAGTTTTTCTTTTTTTGCATTTGTATTTTGTTTTTCTTTTTTTTTTGTTCAATTTGTATACCATATATACACAAAAGAAAGAGAATTATTCTCATTTTAACAATGGTAACACAAGTAATTTTGATGTCACTTCGATAAACAATATTTCATGCAATGCTTTTGATTACAATCTTATAGAAAAAGAAGACAAAGAAATTATTATATACAATATTAGTAAACGCAATGTATATATATATATATATGTATTATCTTACTCTTGAATGATTTTGATGATGTTATTGAAAAACCGTACAGCTACAAGAAAAACAAAGAAAGAATAGTAACGATAAAAATGTTCTTTATGTTTATAACGGTTATTTAGCTATAATTACACAATTGAACAATTTATAATAATTCGAATCAACTTTGTTTTTGTTGCCTGCATAAATCATTTCTATGTGAGTTACGATAAAACAAAATTAGCAAATAGTTTCTCAATAAAGTTTATTTAAACTTTGTGAAGTTCATTTTTTAAATAATGATAACACACTCTTAATATACTATAATATCAAATGTTCTGAAGAACGTTGACAGATGAAATGCGAAGTATTCAGAATATAGGCTGACAGTAATTAATTTATGCGACAGTCGAAAAGAGAATTAACAAGTTAGACATATCCATTAACAAAAATCAAATTCTTGTCAATATGACATTAACTCAAAATCTATATGATACTCAACTAAAGATATGATTAGTTATTAAAATGGAAAAAAAAAGACTTCAAAAATTTCTTTTAAGATAATTATTAAAAGACTGCGTATCATTTTACTTATCCTTATTATATATGAATAATACATCAATGGTTAAAACAATGTTTGAGATGTTTTTCTTTTGCTTTCTTAATAAGTGTTTCACGATGGTTAGTATTTTATATCGATTATTATATACATTTGGAATAAAATTTTATAAATAAAATAGTCACTATTTCGGTATCTCAAAGTAGTTTTTACTGTATTTACATCACTGATTATTACCATTATACGTTGAAATAAAAAAAATAAAATAAAACATTATAAAATGTTTGTTATCGAATCAATTTTCAAACGTTTTCTATAGATTCATATCTTGAAAGCGATCATTATCAATAACTAATCAATGAATATCAATTCTATTAAAAATAGTTTCATTTTTAGTATTTATGAGAAAAATATTAGACTAACAGAAATACTTTTTTTCATGGATTCATACATCTGATGATAAAAATTTGTAACGTAAGTTAAAGAGCCGAAAGAAACAGAATATTATTTCTAAATATAAAACACTTGTTTATGCATCATTAAAATACAGTGTAACATCACCCAAAGTTGTAGACAAAGTATTAATTATTGAAAAATATTTCAGATCAGTAGAGAGAATAAAGTAATATATTCTTCCATCCTTATTTTTAATATAAGCAATTTTTTGAAAGAAATATTCATAAAATCATCAATTTTTAATGTTGTCAATTTAATATTTTTTATTTCTATTTTGCTTCGATAACATTTCAGAAATGTTTGTTATATTTCTTGAACATTATATTCTTAAAACAAAGCCAAATCATGTGAACCAAAACACTATTGAAAATTTTCTCATACATTTATTTTCTATATGAACAAAAATTTCTATATGCCATGGTGAAACCACAATACTGTCCTATATTATTTGAAAAAAACATTGCAATCATCAAAACAGTCTTGTATCTTTCTTCAGATTAGTATTTCATGTAGAATATATACAAAAGAAAATATGAAATGCTTTCATCAACAGTCTATATATCTTCCTGAATTAATGAAGACCTTTTGCTTCTAGATTACATACTATTTTTAGATTCGTTTAGCTGATAATGAAATCAACAAAATACATAGAGAACATTTACATGCGTCATCAGCGCATTAGTTTTTCTTCCTTATTCTTTTTAAATCAATTATATTGGTTGCAAGATAATCGAGCAAAAGATGAATAAGAAGAGACAACAATAATAATAATAACAACAGCAGAAATATATGAGAAAAGCATTCTTCGCACATCCGAATGGTTTTGACATATGTCGAAAAGCAAAAGTGCGCATGATAAGAAAAAAAATATGCACATTCGGGAATCGATTTCATTCATTATTGTTATTAAGAACAAGTAAATACTATTCTTAAATCACTAATTGGTATGTAAATAAGGAACTCTTGAGATGAACAGGAAACTATAAATCTCTTTGAAAACTATTTTGTTATTATTATGAATTCTCCTATAATGGTAATCGCTAATACTTTGTTCATTCACTCTAATGAATAGAACAAATTGATATCGTAGATATACCTTTCCACTAGTTAATTTTAGAAAAGAAAAATCTCACAAAAATTTAATTCTTCTTCTTTATTAATTATTTAGAAAATTTGAATCTAGTAGGCGGATGTAATAGCAGATCTTATCTGTTATATATGTCCTAATGTATATATATACTTCAGTCATCTTTCTTGTTCGTGTCATACCATTTGCTATTTCAACATCATATATACAATGAAAACAATTACCAAATGTTGTTCTTTGTCTAGAGTCGCACAATCCAAGTATTCTGTAGATAAAAAGATGTAAATAATGTTGACTGAGAACAGATACCCGAGAGATGGGATAATGCATTGCGTGATTAGTAATCAATATTCATCAGTAATGAATGCATTTTATTTAAATGACATTTTGAGTAAAAATCGCTCTAGAGATGTTGACAATTATCGAGAGATCGACAATTTTTGCAATTGATGTCCTCAGGATAGCTTGTCATGGGTCTCTATAATCAGATTGATTTTATGCATAACTCTTTTCATATCGAAATGGAGATAAGAAGCTTATCTACATTTATCTCACTTTTTAAATTTAAATTTAAACCTAAAAACTAAAGAATCTAATAATTTTAGATGCTGTTCGTCGAACAAATTCGCAATATATCTATATTATTTCTAACTGTATTTGGATGTACAGGAAATATTTTTACATTAATCATTCTTAATCAACGTTTCTTTCGTAAAACACCATCAGCTACATTAATTTCAGCTCTATGTATTGCTGATTGTATTGTACTTTGTTTAGAGAGTTTAAAACTCATAGGAAAAGTTTATTTCTCAGTAACATCATACGATTGTATTATTTTCTTTTTTGTGGATGTATTTCGTCTTATGTCTGTTTGGATTGTTTGTTTTATAAATCTAGAACGTTGTTCACTTGTATTTAACCCATGCCATATACAACGTTTAACCAGTCAAATTAAGTCACGTCTATTTGTTATTGGATTATTTATTATATCATTACTTATATTTAGTCATTATGTGACGCATCTGAAAATGGAATATGCTTATAATTCTAATGGAACGAGTATTATTCAATCAGCTTGTACATATACACCAGGTTTTCATCGCGTAGCATGGGAATGTTTACGATCATCCTTAACATATTGGTCAGCAGTTCCAATTTGTATTATTTGTAATATTATTATAATAAAATGTCTTTTTCAAGCATCACGTATTGAACGTACATTAAGTAATGATTTAGCAAGTACCTTAAATTTATCAAATAAACAACGTCAATTAACAGCAATGCTTGTTACATCATCCATATGTTTTGTTTTAACAGCAACACCTTCAACAATACATGCAATTTATTTAGCAGTATCACATGATTTTACTATGCGTCAATATGTTATAAATATATATATGGGTATTCTTCTTCATTTTCATCATGCAGTAAATTTCTTAGCATTTGTTTTTTCATGTGCCCGTTTTCGTGCTGAATTAATTGGATTATTTCATAACTATATATGTCATCGAATTTTTAGAAATTGGTATAGACGTGCAACACCAGCAACTGAACAATTTTATATGTATTCAACAAGACAAAATAAAACGCCAATAAAATTATTTACACCAAAAACATATTCACATAAACGAAATCAACACAATGGAATAGTTATACTTGCAACGAATAATTATCACAATCCAATAGGACGAAATCATTAATATTGAATGTAAATTTATTTTTAAATAACTGAAATTTTTATGCTTTTTTAAAATTTTATTCATGACTGAAAATAAATGCTGAAAATTTTTGTTATAATTGTATACATTTGTAAAAATATAATATGAAAGTTGCTTGTTCGTATAAGTAGAATTTGTTTTCTAAAGCATACATAAAACTCTGCTTTTGCTTGATTTGAAAAATTGCTTTAATATTGTGTTTTTTGTAACACTGAAATTTTAATAAATAAGTGTAATATGAAGTCAAAAATACAAAAAGATAATGAATTTTCTTCATTTATTGACCAAATATTGAAATATATAGGATATACCAAAAGTAATAGTAGTTCTATAATATCTTATCAAAGACTCAAGGAAATTTTCTTTCGAATATATATAGTGATAATCTGATTATCGCTATAGAATTCTATATTATTTAATCCTTTCCGTTGATATGATAATATTAGTAATACGATAAAATCTGTTCTCTTATGAATTAGATGGATAATGAAAATTTGCGCTTCTACATGTAAGTCCATACTGCACAATATTTTGTTTTCGATAATTAGACTTCACATTTGAGACTGATTGAAAAATGAAACGAATGATTTTTGTGACCATCAAGAAGACGTTGAAGATGAAGAATAATACTGTGGAGCAGTAACCGAGCTAAATCTAACAAGATCAAAAAGATTCATTTCCTTATTAATGATGATACTCAATTTACAATTGACATATTGCAAATACAAACTAATTTAAGTCACGAAGCCATCCGAAGAATAATGTTTGATCATCATAAAATAAAAAAGATTGCTATTTGTTGTATATCGAAACAGATGACCTTGAGATGCTCATAAAAGATATGACGTCAATTACAGATTTGCTAGGACTTTCTTTGGCTTCAATCTCTTTTCGATCATCATGAAGCCATCTATATCATCTTTCAATTGTTATAACTCATGCAACCTAGTAGCCAAAAACAAAATATAGTGTAGTATTGACTTCAATATAAAAATATAAGTTTTTCTTATCCATCTTACTGATAGGAATATAGCTTTCATCGAAGTTCTTGTGTTATCATACCAACTGAAGAATGATAAAATAATATAGAACACTAGAGTGTTCTTTGAATTATCAGCATATATATATAAAGAGAGAGAGAGAATTTTCTCGGGTCGTCTATAAGGTACTACAGAGCTAATGTTACTACTTTTGGTATGCCCTAAATAATTTATGTTTGGCGAGGAAAATTGAATAATCTTTTTATGTGCAGTAAACTGAAATAAACCGTCAGCAATTCAAGACCTGCTTTTCAACACAAATTCTGACAAGTGTAATAGAAAGATTCTTGTACAACACATTAATGTTATTCTGTAGCGTACTGATATGGGTTTTACTAAAAGCTTTTTTTAAATGTGTAGCAAGAATTATGATGAGATCAGTCTTGTTTTCTATATGCATACAATAACTAAGAACCTATTTTGATTTAAATATGTCAGAGTAAAAGCCTAGGAGAGAAGTGCAAGTATGATACGCTAAACTATGCTGACAAATTGCTGATGTGCGATGAGTTTCATAAAGCTTTGAAAAATAAAATAGAAATTCAAATGATAACTAAGATAAGATAATGCAAGTTCAATATAATTTTTTTTCGATCAGAGCAGACAAGATTATTATTCAGAAAACTTGACTAAGGGTTTTCGGTGTTGAAAAATTGGAACCTATAGGTCATTTTATTGAAATTTTCAAGTTCAATTTTTTTTTATCAGAGCAAATTTATTGCAAGATAATAGCTGAATTTTATAAAACTTGACTAAAGAATGTATCCACCCAACTAATAATCTTCGTTGGAGTTCATATTTTGCATATAAGTAGGACGCATACTGTACACAAAAATCCTAAGCGAGTTCTTGACACGAAGTCTTTCCTCTCGAGTTATGATCATTTTACTGATGTTGCGACCTAAAACTCTTCCCAATAATAGCTAATGCCATCTTTACGATATTCTAAAAGGTTCAGCTCAAAGGTATGGTTTCTTCTTAACACATAGTCTGCTTAAAAACTGGGCTACTTTAGAAGCTCTTGTGTGACAGCTACGTGTTTGGTAAACTTGTTATCTCAGAAAAAACTTCAGCTAAATGACTATAACTCGAAAATAAATATCTAATGGTCCGAACCACTTCAAGATTTTTGTCTAAACTTGAACTTCTACTCATAAGTCAAATATGAGTGCAAACGTACGTTATCAATCGGAATAGTTCGCTTGTAAATCATGTAAAACACGTTTCCTGCTACGAACAATAGTGAACGTGAAAATTTCAAGAAGCCACCCATACATTCCGGTTGCTCGACCCTCAATGTCTCAAGGTATATATTATGAAAAACTTTTATTTTTTGAAAAACAACTTTATTTTGATTGAAAAAATTAACTTCAAATAGTGTTACCTACATCCTCACTGGCCTGATCACCTCATATAGTATACCACGTTGAAAAAGTTTTTTGGTGCTGAATATTTCATAGCCGAACTTCCTTCGTTATTTTTAATAAAGACATGTGTCATTAAATCATTTTCTATCAAAAGATATGTTGAAACTTTCTTTTAGGTAGATGATCCGACCTTTTTATTATGAGCTATTGTAGACCTAATCTCCACAACATCTAAGCATCAAATTCGTTCTAATATGCTGAGATTTCAAACTCGCATTTTCTTTTGGTGAAAGTCTTACTTAAACTTAACAATTCAAACGACATACTTTATTCTTATTTATTTTGACCAATGAATAATTTGAAAAACAAATATAAAAATAAAAATTGTTACCACAAAAACTGGTTTTATTCAGACAAATAGTCACAAAAAAAAACGAAATAAGTACATTTTGACAGAAATAAAAGCCTGAATTAAAAAAAGTAATTCGATTCCAAATTCTTTCGAAGTTGACACCTTTTGTCATCGAAATGTAAGGTAATTATTTGTAATAATTTTATGCAAAAGAAATGTCTGCAATTCAAGCTAAAAAGAATAATGAATTTTGGTTCATCAATCAGAAAGTACAACATTTTAAACATTGTGAATCATCATTCAAATTTCTCTTGTATCAACGAGCAAACATGACGATAAAAATTTATGCACATTATTTATCAATAATTGAAGTCATGTTTATGTTAATTTTTTTTGTAATTTTTTATTCGTACTCGAAGAAAATCTTTCTTCTGTTTTGTATAGACTGATAAACTTAATTCCTGTATAAATACACGTTTTAATATTACCATATTTTTATTTATTGATTTTGTTATTCAATAGTTTTGATATTATTTTTATTCAAACTATTTCTTCTTGATGATAATATGCAAAAAGTATATGCATTGCCGACAATAATCTTCCCTATATACGTTTTCTAACGACAACAGGTGCAGTTTTTCGTTCTCTCTCGACTGATATTCTTACTATTGCCTACAACAACGAAAAGAACGGTGAAAAAAAAACCGAAAAAAGTCATATGACGAGCAAAACTGACGGCGGATAAGAATGATAAATTTTCTTCTATTGCTTGTCTATTCGATTTTTGGTCATGGTTCGTTGCATTTTAATTCTCATCGAAAACATATTCATCTACTTTTAGTTTAATAAAAATAATGAAAGCGCATCATAGTGATCATCATTTATATGATACTTATTCATTAAAAATAAAATATAATAATGATCGAAAAGATATTGATACAAAATCTTGTATAGATTTGAATCTTCAACAAAATTCAAATACATTATCAAATTATCGACGTACATCAATAAAACGTTCAACAAGTACTGTTAATAATCATAATATTTCAAATAGTAATGAATTAATTATAAATGGTTCATTATTTGATGCACAATTATTTCAACCATCACGTTCATCATATATACTTGATTATCGTGAAACACCACATGATCTTAATCAATTTCTTGAAGGTCATAATATGACCTTAAATTCATCACATTTAGATGTACATTTATTTAAACTTTCCTTTATAATAACATTATCTGAATGGCGTGTTGATAAGGAAATTTTATTGGATTATTGTCCACGTGATGATAATGAAATCGATATAATAGAAGAAATTTCATATTATAAAAGATTTTGTTTTCCAGAATTAAATTCTAAAGAAACAGATGAAGAAATTTTACTTGATGATTCGTCAACATATGTTTTTACACGAACAAATTCAAAAGGAAAAGTGGAATATGGTTATTGTCGACGAGTAACTGATGATAATAATCAAATATCAAAACTTCCCATTGTTATTTGTATAGGTTTATATTCAAGTTTTTCTTTGTAAAAAATGATTTTTATTATAGATTTTTATTATTTTTAGTTTCGACTTATTCATATTATAAACTTTATGATGCTATTCTTAATGAATTAACTTCAGGTAAAATGAAATCATATGAAAATATTCGAATTAAATAGAACGGTAGATTTTCTTCTATCCGTATTTTATTGCAAAAAAAATCTTGATTAAACAAAAATCAATAATTTCAATTTTCTTCAATTTATTGCAAAAACCATTTTCTATACGTATGAATATCTTGATAAATTTTATCATATATTAAATCTTTATTTTTGTTTTGATTATAATCGTATAATCGAATCTTAAACTTTTATTGATTACTTATAAAATTACAAGTGTTTCAATTAATTAAATTAATTTTTTTATTTGTATCCAAAAACAATGAGCTTGTCAATGGTAATCATAATTGATATGTTTTTTGATTTTTAACCATTAAAAATGACTACGTAATATGTGAATAATGTGAGATATTCACAAATTACATGGTCAGTTTGATGGGATAAGAAGTAGTAAAAGTTGCAACGAATGATCAATGTATATCAGTGAGGACAAAGATGTAGAGTACAAATATTATAGAAAATAGATTACTTGAGTAAATTGTTCATTATAAAATGAGACGTACCATTACATAAGTCAAGTTTTATGAAGATTAAACGTAAATTGCGCATAGTGTGAAGCAATTATTAGAGAACTGTGAAAGACGTCGTGGTTTTAAGCGAGATCTGGTATCTTATATCTTGTCTAAGACAAATTTTAATACTATTCCTATACCATATGGAGTTTATTTCTTATTCTCCGTCTCTCTTAATCTTACTCTACCTGGAAGACTCGAAAATTAATGAAGTAGTAATATAGTATTACTTTTTTTCCAGTTTTTTATTTTTGTTTTTCATTATAAAGTATTAAGGTATAATCTTTTGGAAGTTTCTAATGAAAAACATGTCATCAACAAGGTCACTACGAAAACTTTGTTGCTCGTTCTTTGAGAATACTTGCAATTATGTTGAATAGTTTTTTATCGGTACATGAATTAACTGATATACAAAATGATGATCTAACAAGAATACCACCGAGGGGGAACGTTTCTAAGTGTTAAATCGCTTCTGAGCTCGGATTATATGCATCATAGAAGTTCCAATAAGTTAAGAATATCCTAATGAAAGAGTTCGAACTAATAGCTTACTAGTGCCGAGATATCGAATTATTTAACCGAATTCTAAGGTCCCCTTAGGGAAACTGGATTTCGAGTTTTGACTTGGTGTTTTTTTACAGAGACAGGCCTTAAAGAGAAAAGTTTCTTGTGAATGTTTCAGATTTTTCGACTGCATCTATTCTGGAATCAGAACGCCAAACTTTGCTGTTGTACATGATCGGTGTGAAAACCATGCTTTTAATATGGCTTTATTTTAGGATAGAAACAATCAAACGATCTGAAACTTTTATAATAAACTACTCTCTTTAAGGCCTATTTCTACGCAAAGTTTCAGGTCGAAATTCGAAACCTACTTTATCTATTATTCTTGAGGAAGAAAGCGCAGTGTTCTGATAAACACGTTACAGTACTTCGGCAGCAATAAGCTATTACTCAGTCTCGAAAGCAATTTGACACTTAGAAATGTTCCCTCGTAAGTTTTGGAAATGATATAACCTATATATTTCCACTAGCTAAATTCAGATTCTTAAATATCAATAATTAATTTTGCTTTAACGTAACGATCAATTTCATCATCATCATCATCATCATCATCTTCTTCTTCTTCATTAGATTCAGATTAGAACTATGCAGGGTGAGTTTCGTTCATATCCTATATCCTAATTGTAGAGCACGTTCGGTTCAAAATTCTTGCACGCTGACCTTGAACTAACTCGACTGGCTCTATGTGTCTGAGAAAATCATTGATACTCTTCCTATACCCTATAACTCTTACCTTTGCCCTGCATACCTCTATTTTGTAGATTTATGCCTTCCTAAAATTGATCCATATCACATAAAATTCAATCAATAGGAAAAAGGCATTGACTCTTTGTATTATTTGTTTCTAGCCTACATATCAAATGATCTTGAATGTAGTCTATTAATGCAATCATTCTATTCGAAGCCATTACCTTTACCAACTCATAATTCATCAGGTATTGTCTGTATACTCAATGATCGCCGTATATTTTTTTATGTTTGTCCAACTGATGAACGTCTTAATCATGATTATTTTTCCACTTTACTTTCTTGTTTATCACCAAATAATATAACTCATTTATTTGAATCAATGTTACGTTCAAAAAGAATTTTATGTTTTTCAAATTCACTTTCAAAATTAACTAAATGTTGTCTTGCTTTATCATTTTTAATGTATCCATTTATGTGGCCTTATCCATTTGTTTCACTTATGCCATCATCATGGTTACATGATTTACTTGATTCTCCATGCCCATATATATATGGTTGTTTATATGAAACAATGCAACAAATACCAAAAACAACAGAAAAAGATTCAATACATGTTGATCTTGATTTAAATACTGTTGATATGAGTATTGGTGATAATTTTATTTTACCACTTAATCTTCGACAAATATTACAAGCATCACTTGAATATATAATAAGATTTCGTTTAGTTAAATCAAATTCAACTTTAGTTAATATAGCTGTTAGTGAAGCATGTTTACATGTATTTACGGAATTATTTTATAGTTTACCAAGTTATTTTAAACGGCATCAAACTTCTGAAAAATTAACAGATAATAAACAAAAATCTTCCAGTAGTCCAAAATCATTTAAACGTAATGATAGTGGAATTGATGTTCAATCAATTGTATCAAGTGATGTACAACATGAATCAAGAAAAACTGAACATAAAAAAGAAGAAAATAGTCTTGGTTATGATTTTCGATCGGATGATTTTCTTATTTCACAACCATCATCAGGTTATATTGTCTTCCTTAATGATTTTATTCACGGTAGGTAAAAGATCTTTTTTGTTTTAATAAGTTAGTCTTATTTGTAAAGTTCACCGCAATAGTTGAAGATCCTTTTAGTATTTTGTCGATTATGTCGTTATTCAAAAATAGAAACAATTTTCAAAACTATACCATTAGATGCAGAACTATTTATAAATTTTGATCTTCAAATATACTGTGAGGAAGAGCATTAAAAATTGATTAACCTCGTATATTATTATTTCTGTAATAACTCTTTGTCACATAATTTTTTTTTTCAAAACTAATTAAAATTTAATTAATACTCTATTAATATGTTAAGAAAAGTAAGTTCTAAGCATAGATTTTGGAAATTTAAAATAACTGTTAGCACAATCTCTGTATAACTAAAATGTGACACATGATGTAACTGCTGTTAGTAATTAGATCGAGATTGTTTTATTCTATACACCTTGAAACACATTTTTTCAAGCTCTTTTTTACTTAATCGTCTAGAAATTCAATAAGAAAGTAGTTGATACGTTGTAATGAGCCTTTATTGGTATACGACCTGTGATGAGTTACCAGGGCGCAGTGAATATTTCGTGAAAAAATGAAAGTGATATTGTTTGCGATGTAAGGAAAATCCTATGCCAAAAAATTCAGAAAGTTTCTGTCACCTTAGAAAAAAGTATAATTTTTCGAAGTAGCGAGATCTACGAAATAAATCATGTAGACACCTAAAGTTGAGCCCCTGTTCTATCGCTCTATATGAAAAACTTTGTTCTCATAGTTTTCTTATTTTGAAAAGTATGCCTGTTTTTTTCACTAAGAGTTTTCTTGAAAAGACGTATCTCAGTGTAGTCACTGCTCATACTTTAGTATAGTTCCAAACTTGATAAAAATTTTATAGAATGTTTATCCCTGCCTGACACGTCTGCTCGGTTAGCATAAATATGCTTAAATGCTTCTCAAAGGAGAAATAAAGACATAGTTTGAATTAGCACCAAAAAAAAACATTTTTTAAGTTTTTAGAGTACAAATTTTTCTAACAAAAGTTTACGATATGAGTTCCGTTATACATTTTATATTGAAAATTTTCTTTTATGAATATCACTTTTTTGACAGCAATTTTTTGTTGAGTATTGAATATTAATATTTCTATGAAAAAGATGCAGTTCTGAGAGGAAATAAGCTATGTCTACGTGCTCGATAGAAATTTTCTATTGTGCAAGATATCTGTCATGGTCCGTTGAGGAAGCAGAGAGTGTGTTCAAATTTCCACTCTATATATTTCAATACCCCATTTAGATGATCTTGTACTCTCATGTACAATGTGTTCTTTATCAGATATAGAACCAGATGTGCAAAATCTACCCGTGTACGGTAACGCGCGGTAGGGAAAATTTTTTAGATCTGGGGAAATTTCTGAAAATCTTTTGAGTCTAGGAACGTTTCGAAAAGTAACTTTTTCCCATGCGAAAAAAGTCATAAGCTGTAATGTCTCTACCTATGCTGGAATGCTCCCCGTTGCATCTCGCTGATTCATTTATCAAACATTCACTGAATGATTGTTTTAGCAGCAAGAAGAAGAAAAATTGATTATTTAAGAGTGAACAATATCAAACATGGAAACTCATATCACTTGGCTTCGTTGTACTAAATCATTTGAGAAAAATAACAAGTACCAAGATTACCAGAATCAATCGATGATTAATAGAACGGATTGTTTTTTTAAATCACGCTATTTTTTTTAAGTAGTTCTTTTTTGATGTCCTTTGTTTATAGATATATAATCCACAGAAGGTCATGTTTTTTTTAAATTTTTCTAGCTCGGGAAATTTTTCGAAAACATTTTAACGGTGAGGGAATTTTTTTTTACGGCAGATTCTGCAGCTCTGTATAGAACTCTAAAAATAATGTAGCATGGCGACAGTGGAAAATAGCTAAAAGTTATCGGTGAAGTTAGTGAACAAAGATAAAAACAAGTCAAATCAGATGATGAACATAGTCCATAGAAGAGTGCAAACTCATATGATAAAACAAAGTCTGCTATATAAAATGTACTATTGTTTAAAGTTCTGAAGTCACCACTTACAACTCAAATTTCTTAATTATCAATAGAGTTATAGTTAAAGTTTCATTAGTTTTTACAAACTCATATTACAAAGAGTTATTACAAAATAAAAACACAATATCTTATTCACTTTTCAATGCTCTTTACAACAGTATACTTGAAATCATTCTCATTAAATCTCAAATTCAATAGAATAGAAAGATGAAGCGTAGAATTCTACATATATCTAACTATTTTTTTTAATACTAAATGTAAAAAGATATTTCTTGAATTAAATAGTCTTACGATGGGTCTTTCACTTTTCAACGTTTCAACTATGGTACCTATAATTCTTCTACTGTAAATTTAATATGAAAACTAATAGCCTAGATTGATATAGTTTTTCATGCTCAACAAAATGATACATCGATTAGTTTATGTAAAATCAGACAGGTATGATATCATACCTGTCTGATTCTACATAAACTAATTGATGAACATGATCGATACACCATTTTGTAGACCATGAAAAACTCCATCAATCTATGCTATTAATTTTCATATTGAGTTTATGACAGAAAAGGTACGAAATGTCGAATAGTGATAAATCCACCTTAAGACTATTTAGCTCATGAAATATTTTTTTTTACATTCACCATACAACAAAAATAAATAGTTAGAAATGTGCAGATTCTTCTCCTGTATCTTTTCATTCTATGGAAAGTTAGATTTAAGCAAGTGATAGATATACGATCTTATCTGACAGTATCCTTTGCCATGGATAAGAAGACGTTTGGAGTTATGCAAAAAAAAACATGGTTTTAAAGTTTTAAATTTATATAGTAAAAATGTAGGAAGTGAAAATATTGAAAAGCTTGACTAAGTGATTGTTATCAACAATGCCATTTGATTAATGTCAAGGATTCGAATAAAACGCTTCCGCTTGTTTAATAGTACGAATCAAAACAAATAGTCTTGAGCAAATCGAATTCTTTATTGATAAAATTTGCAAATTGATTGCTGTTTTCATTGAAGAATTATTGAAAAACAGTCGACAAACTTTATTTAACAGTTCAAATATAAATAAATTTTCTCTATTATATTAGATTGTTTTTTTTTTGTTAATAAATAAACCATTTTATAATTATTTAACATAACAAGAAAAAAAAAAGAAAAATCTAAAATTTGTTTTAGGAATGATTTTTCTTAAATTTCTTGATGATTATCAACGTATTGATAACAATTCTCTACAATCATTTTCATTATTTGATCAACGTTTAAATGAAAGACGTCGAATGACACATGATGAATTATTAATAAATCCTGTTGTGCGATTTCGACAAACATTTGATTTATTAGAAAAACAAATGAAGAATTCATCAAAATCAACGAATCCATTAATAACGAAAATTGTAAAAAAATTTTTTGAATAAAGCACTTTTAATACTAATAATGTCAAGTGTTAATTGATTTCTTTTTTCGCTTTGCTTAATAAATATGTATTACTATTATTATTAAATTTATGCGTAGGTTTTAGTGAGTATTAACAGGTTACCATCGGGAAAACAATAAACATGATATAATGCAGACTTGAATATTCATTTAATTAGAAACTAAAATCGTCTGTGTATATGCTGTCATTTTAAAATAAAACAAATGCTTGTTTCTGGTTCAAATATTATCTGTATACTAAAGAGTAAACGGAACTTGTCTTTATACGATTGACACAATCTTGTGCCGTTTTTCTTTCTTTTCCGTTCCCTCGATGACAAAAAAAGGACAATCACCCTGATTAACACATTGATCGAACGCTATTGCTCATTTTCCTTTTTTTTTCGTCTCTATCGTCTTTCAATGTTTACATAAAGCAGTGAGTAATAGTTCTAAGAAAGAAAAAGACTTCTGCTCTTTCTATCGATCGATTTATTGTTAGACATCAGCTTCAATCAACTAATACGTTCAATCATTAATAAATTTCAATTCAACGTCTTTCGGTACCTCGAGACCCTCTTTGTCTCTTTTAGTTCTATATGGCTCGTACTACCGTCACAAGATACAAGCTACGAACGACGATTAATGAGTAGGAGTAGGAGAGAACAGAGAGAGAGAGAGAGAGAGAAGAAAGAACAAAAAATCGATTAAAGAAAAAACTATGTTAGGAAAGACATACATAGATCGAGCACCTAATTGTCCGTTCATTTTTAATCAAGGACGTTATTTATATATATATGTAGACAGCCAAAAGAATGAAGTTAAAAACCAGATAGTCACTATTTGCTATTGTTATTATCAGAAAAAGTAGGAAGATGATTTTATTCACATAAGTATGAGGTAAGATGAAAGAAGTAGAATAAATTAATACAAAAAAAAAAGATCCGATCTCATTTTTCTTTTTATTTTCATTTGAGAAAAAAAATGTACTTTAGATAATGTGATCATGATTCAAATCTTTTTCTTAATGGACTATCAATGACAGTTTGAATAGTATCGATAAATTGACTTTAAAATAAATTGTTAGTCATTTATCTTGTATTTTATAATAAAATCTAATGACTTGTGAAAAAACACTACTAATGAAATTTCCATAAGATATGAGTTAAAGATAATAATATCTAATTTAGACTTTGTAAGAAATAATGTCAAATCATTTATTATTCTTTAAAAAAATCTGGAAAAGTAACTTATCACTGTTTAATGCAACAATGCCCTAAGGTATGCGTGCACACTGACAATTGATGAATTTTCTTCCATTTAGATTAGTTTTTTTCCTTTTTTTTTTTCTTATTTTTACTGGTTTAATATAAATGTTTTAGAATACTAGTCCTCATTTCTATTCCGCATCTCTCGTTTCAATATCTGGAATTTGTTTTTTTTTCTTTATCACTCTATATTATTACTTTGAAATTTAAAACACAAACATGCATTATCAATCATTGATCGCATATATATTTGTCGTACTTTTTGCTATGACAATAGTTTTGGCTCAAGCTAATAAAGAACGCGAACAATTTGCTGATCTATTACAAAAACGAAAACATCTTAATGGTTATTGGGTAGGAAAACGATATATAATTGCATCTGATGAAGATCCATTAATTGATAGTGGTAAATGAAAATTTAAATATTTCTTTCTTCTAAAGTTTAGTTTATTTTATTTTTCTAGACGAAGATCAATCAGCGGCAAAACGAGCATCCTATTTAGTGGGCAAACGAGGTACATATTTGGTTGGTAAACGTGCCTCTTATCTTGTCGGACGAAAACGACGTGATTTGATGGCTACTGATAGTTCACGACAATAAACATTAACTTTAAACTGTATACGCAAAAGATCTATTTATAAAGAAAAAAAAACCTTTTCTTGAATCTATTGCTCAACAGCATTAGAAACAATAAAAGAATTTATTTTTGCCGCTTACTAATTTCTAATTTATACAATTGAGCTATGAAAAAATAAATTATATTACGTAAAAACCTTACTGTCAATAGTAGATCTAACATTATTTCGTATAAAACAATAATAAATTAAGTCTGACATTTTAATGTAAACTGTATTTATCCATAACAATATCTATGCAAATTCAATCGCTCTCAAGGGAAATAAATGTCTTGAAGATTAAATCAAGATAAATCGGTATTTTGACAGTAATAAATCCAAGACAATAGATCTAATCTATGTCTTTCAAAAAAAATTGATTTATTCAATTAGTTTTAATAATGTTCAATATACTTTGTATTCAAATCATTTTTCCAGATATTTGTTCAATTATTAAATTACTTAATTCAATGTGTTATGCTCGAAAGTCTAAGTAAACAAAAAGACATCGACAAAGAAAAACTGAATTCATCTATCAATTTTTAATAGAATCATTTATCGAAGCATTACATATCCATAATAAACAAAACAAAACAAGTCTTAAATTTATAATCGTTGTAAATTGTGATATTGTGTATGATGAAACAAACAGCTTAGCAAAGAAGAACACTTATTCTGATCTTTTTATTTATGTGAATGCCTACATTTAACTATGTATAGTATACTGATGTAGTATTCCCTATACAATTCACGAAATAGAATCTGCAGTATAACTGATAAACTTCATTTTATCATTCTTAGTCTTTCTCTCCTTCAATTTTGTTTTCTTCGATTTCAATGATTATGAAGACAAAAGTATTGTGGATTAGAATCTTTCTTCTCCTATACGTTTAAAGTTAATGTTCAATCTGAATAAGTTATTCTTCTATTGTAAATGTCATTGTAGATTTTTATATTTGTTTGATAGAAAAAGACATTTCGATAATGTTTTATAAATATTTTATATTCGTTTATCTCGATTGTATCAATTAGATAAGCATCTCAATAGCAAGTGCCTTTAATAGTAGATTTAAAAAAAAATTTGCTTTATAGAAATCTACAATATCAATAATTAAGGGAAGACTAATTCATGAAATTTTTAACTAACAATATTTGTGTATCGATTGATCATATAGTTCTAATAATGTCTTGAAAAGTTTATTTAAAACTATTATATTTCACTCAAAAACAATTTTAATGTATCAAAATGCAGCTAAAAAACAGACATTACACAACAAATCGATGCATTTTTAATTTCAAAGAATATTTTTACTGTAAACGTTCAAGTCGCTCTGAAGAACCAAGATAATTTTTATCGATTATTTGTATTATGCTATTAACATATCCTACACATTTTTTCAACAATATTGATGAATCAAGTCGTAGTTCGCTGTTACTTTTAGAGTCTGACCCATTGAATTAGTTCCGAACCCAATGAGCTCTACTTGTAAAAGAGATATTTTGTTTCTTTTTTATTTTTAGTCTCTTATTCACAGCATTATCAGATAATTTTCTGTTACAGAAATATATCGCAGTATCATTCGAAGCATAAAAAAGCACTTAAAATATTTTACATATAGAAAAATGATTTTCTTTTCGTATGTTCAAATTGAAATAGAATAAGAGTATACAAATTTTAAAGAAGAGAAAGAAAAACAAAAAATTAATTAATTAAACCATCGAATTCGGACGTTTTATTCCACAATTAAATTTATTCGATGATTTTTTTCTCATTATAACCATTGAATCTGTTGATAAAGATGTTAATGATTCGGTAGGTGTCGATGGTACACTTTCAGTTGTACGTATTGGTGTAACCGAAGTTTTTTTATCCGTTGTAGTTATTTGACTATCATTTAATTTACTTCGAAATGTTTTACTAGAAAAGAGGATCTAATTGAAAAAGAAATATTCTTTTTTAAATTTTTACTGTGCGGCTAATATTCCTTCATAAATAACTAATTGATTTCGAAATCCACCATTTGGATTTATACATGATCGTCGTTTTTTTACATGTTCCAATGCATCAGCTAATGATTGATTATTTTCTTTCATTAGATATGCTAATACCTAATTTAATAAATCAAACACAAAATAATAGAATTATTCAAATTCAATTTATTTACCGTTGAAGCAGATCGACTAATACCCATTTTACAATGAACCAAACAACATTGATTATTAGCTCTAACAAAAAAAAAAAAAAAAAGATCAAATAACAAATGAAAAATAATTTGAAAAACAACAAATAATCGAAATATATACTTTGCTTCGTTTATAAATCGAAATGTTTTTTCCCATTCTTTTAGTAAATCTGCATCATCATGATCATGAACACGAACATTTAAATATTTAAAATGTCCAGGAAAAAAATTATCTATTTCACGTGAAACATTTAATACATAACCAATATTATTTGCTTTTAATTCTTCAAAATTTGATGCATTCCATTCAGAACCAAGATAAAGATGTGGTAAAATCATTGTTGGTTTATCCATTTGTGCAAGAATTTGAAGCATTTCATCATCAATGTATTGTTTAAATGGAGTTAGTGACATTTCAAATGCTTTTTCTAATTGTTCACGTAACTAAAAAAAACAAAAAAAAAGCAACATACATATAAATGTTAGCGTCCAATCTTACTAGAGAACCTCTCCTATCTGTCAAATAGCTTTTCAGCCGAGATAAATTTCATTCAATCAGTACTAGTGAGCAATAAAAACGTCTAGAATGGTTTGATTTTTCAAACCATCGTTCTTAAGATATCGAAATTTTACTAAGTTTTTTCAACAAGAAAAAGATATGATCTTTTTCAGATCACACGACAATTCGACTTGTGACTTCAAACTTTGCTTGAATAAAATTCTTGTTGAGATAAGTTCATTGGACAAATTGTAACTTTTCTAGTATCTCCTATCATGAGGTATTCAATAATCAAAATTCTCTCATATATACGAATAAATTTACATTTTCAGAAAGAAAATACGAGCAAAACTATAAGTTGCACAAGTAAATAACTTCATTAAGAATTTTATTCCTACTAAGTTTGAACTGGAAACTTGAAAGTCAATTTTTCACGTAATCTCAAGAAGAGAAGCCATAGCTTTTATTGAAAACCAAGTAAAATTTCGATATCTCGGGAAAGAAAGACTCGAAAACCAAGCTATTCTACACTTTTCTATTACCCACTAGTACTCATAACACGAGCATTATCTCGATCGAAAACCCATTTGACATTGGAAGAACATTAACTTAGGCAATGCTCAGATTGGCTTAGGTCAATGACGGATTGAAACTTTAATAAAGACAATCGTAAGTTAGAGACTAAGTACATTGATTCTATATGAAGTTGCTCTTTCAATCTGAACAATGTGTTGAATAAAAACCAGAATTAAAAATATAGATAAAATTGAATCGCTGTTTGTGTTACAAGAAACTTTGAAAAAGTGGAAGAGTTAATTTGCATTTCAATTGTGGGTGTAGAACTAATCAAAGGCGAACAAGCTGGTTTCTATGCTAAAAATCATTGGAAACCATCGGAAGTCATTCTAAAATCACAAAGAATCTCTAGTCATAAGATCAAAAATAAAGCCGAGATCTCTAATGATTTCTCATGGCATTCCTTTATTCCCAAGCATTTCTGATGATTCGAAGTGAGCAGAACAAATTCATCGACACCCTATTTTGATTTGGCACCTTGTTTTTTCTTAAAGTTGTTTCTGCCATTTTCTATTTAAAAAATACGATTTTTCCAGATAAAGCGGAATTTCTTTTTTTGACTTTCTCTCTATTCATATTTTTTTCATCGTGCATCACAAAATTCTTGAAGAAGCATCATTGTAGTCAATGGTTTTTTTATTTTTTGAAAGAACATGTCAAAATGTAGAGTATGATAGGGTCACTTTTTCTAATTAAACTGTTTCTTACTATTATCTAAATGAGTACTTTTATTATTAGAGTTTCAGTTTTTGAGAGTTCTTTGACATATTGAACTTTTCACTCTTTTCCTCTCTTGAAAAGTCATAACTTAAAAAAGAAGAGTTCTGTCATGATCTGCATCTTGACACGGTCTTTGAAACAAAACAACAGTTAAGTGTTTAGGATCAAAGCCTACAGAGAATTCTGAGCTGCTAAATGATCTTTCTTTTACCTTTACGTGTTAAATATATTCCAAAAACGTCATCGTATACGGCTGAAAATTCTACCATTGCCTCCCTACTACAGCTGAAATATATTCTAAATACTTTGTGCGATTTAAATGTACCACGTCCAAGATCTTTCTTTTTAAGGTTGAGCAAATCTCAATGTGACATTGTTAGTCGATTCAATATTGGACGAATTGTAAATAGAAACCTGCACGAGACTTCAAAGACCATTTTTTTTGTCGTTTTTTTTTATGTAACATAGTAAAAATTATGACAATAATTATACTTTCGAGTCAAATGAGTGGAGATAGTACACTTATATCATATCTCTGAACATGTGCATGTGCGCTGTCGCTAATTTATGCGAAGAAAAATTTCCACTGCGTAGGTATGGAATTGTAACTAATCAATCTGAGAATTGCCTGATATTATATAGGTTCAATGTCGAATCTCAGATTGGACGCTAACATATTCAAATATTTTAAAGAAGAAAAAACATGAATTGATAACTTACAAATTTTGGTGTTACTTCATCAAGATTAACTTGTAACATAATTTCTTTTAGTTTAACATGTATACGAGTACGAAGTGATTCTTCATCGGATGATAATCTAGAATACAATTGTTATTTCGAAAAGAATAATAGAAAAAACTAGACTAATATCTAATCAAGACATACGGTTGATATAAATGAGGTGAGTCACTACGATGTGATAATATATCATCCATTTGATTCCATTCATTAATATAGATTTGATTTGATCGTAAATCTATATTACGATAATGTTCTAACCAACTATGTGTAAGACCATTATTAGCTATATAATTATAATGACGAGCTTGATTTGATACTTTGTGCAAACTCTGATATGCAGTCCTGGAAATGAAATTTTTCCAAAAAAAAACAATTTTGAAATAAATTTGGATACATACCACAGAGCTTGAACGCTCACCGGCTTGAAAATATAACATTGATCACATGAAGTTACCTTGAAACCACTAAATAATAAATAATTGAATTAGAAATAAGCGTTTATATTGTAGACAATTTATTCGAAGAGTGAGTGTGCGTACTATGACTAATTCTTTGATAGAGTCTTTAAAGCTTAATAAATATTTGATTGACAATAGATAGAGTTGAGTATCTATGTCTTGAAATAGAACAAACAAGAGCTTATACTCATGGATATTACGGATGAAACATCATATTCTTTTATTACAGTATCATAACTATTCAAAGTAATTATATTATCTAATGATAATATTGATCTGTAACAGCATTGGATAATTCTCGTCTAATTTTTTTAATTGTCCAATATGTAGAATTCAACAGAGAATACCAACAAATGTGAAAAACTTTGCTAATTATAATAGGTAATTGAAAAGTTTTACGGCTAACATGTTTGCTTACTTTTGAAATGCATTCGACGAGTCAAAAGCTATGAATTAGGACGCTTGTTTTGAATATGAACTTAGAAATTTAGTCTCATAGATCAGAAACTACTCTAAAAATTACACTACTTGCATTTCTTTTTTGTCTTTCGACAAGACATTTTAAATTTAAAATACTCATTTTTTGACAAATTGACAATCATTTTATTTTGAAAAGAGTTTTTGAAAACTTTTTCAGGAAAAACTACAGTTTAGTTCAATATTAAATTTTGTAGAGAAGTGTCCATTCTACAAAACGATCGACTTCGACAATTTTTAACATGTTTGAACAGGTATCTCTAGAGTAAAAGAAAAAGCCTGTTGGTTCACCGTTAAAAATAATACTTTCAGATATTTCAAAAACTCTTAAAACAATAGACATAACATTTCTGAGCCTGTACTGAAATTTTGATCATGATCTATACTGAAATGCTATTAAATAGACAATAACAATAAACATGTTCATCGGAAACGTTAACCATCAACACTAATTTTTAGAACTTATCAAAAATGACTTCGTTATTCTCAAACAGAAAACTAAGACAAAATTTCTTCACTTATATACGAACAGAGCATCTTCATTTATAGCTTTTGATTCTTTCTAGTGGATCAAAGTGAAAAAATATGCTTTCTGAAAATTTTCTGATCATTCTTTACTTGATACTTAAAACTTAAAAAGACTTTTCGTTCAAATATGAAAATTTTGATATTTTTTTTTTTTTTATTTGCGCAAGTTTTCATTATTTTCATGCACTAGAAGCAGAGTAGTGTTATAAAATTCTCAAAAGCATTTTATTAATCATACATGAGCTACTATTAATAATTTTAACTAAGAAGCCTATCAACATATTTGAGCTCTTCAGGAATTATGTTTTTATAATACTAAACAAATATTCTTCAAGTCAGAAAATATTTTCTACAAAACAAACATTTATTATCTAGATTCAATTTCTATGAGTTATTTTTTGACCAGAATCGATACTATTCTGTTAAGAAAAGTACAGTAAAATTAGTTTGTTTTCAAAGAAAATATATAAAAAGTGAATTTACCCATCACCGTCGAGTGATATATCCAAATCGGCCCATATTGGTAATATCATACCAATTGTAATTTCATTTGTAGTAACATCAAAACCAAGAAGAGCCGATCTATAAATTTTCATATTATTTAAAGATATAAAAACAAATAGAATTTGTCTTACTCTTCTGTTTGTTGCTTACCAATACATGAAATAATAACAAGGTAACGAAAACGATTTGGAAAGCCACTTTCCAATTGGACCATCTATTAAAAAACATGATTGATTAAAAAAAAAAAGAAAAGAAGTATTTAAAATAAATCACACACCAATGTGAGGCGATCGTCGGGTCGCAGAATATTACACATCGATTCGAGATGTGTACGTAAATTTTCTAAAAAATAATTACATTAAAAACTATTATTTTTCTTCATAAAACTAACCTGCATTGCCCGCAACGATTCTTGCCAGATGACGGTCACGATTATGATTAGAAGCTGTAGCGATCTTTGTCAAAATCAAGGTTTTCTTCACATGTAAAACAGTTGATTGATTTGACGATAAACTAGACATAATAATGAATTGATCATCAAAGAAAATGAATTAGTATTTCTTCGTTCATTCTTTCTTATAACCATTATGTATATATATTATACAAAATAGTATTATATTCATTGAATGAGTATCGAAGGAAATAGAAAAAATTGAAAGAAAGTAATTCTTTTACTATAATAATAATGCTTCACCTTGCCGTCATCCGAACGAAGAACTTTCCGTTAGTTACTCTGCTAAACGTCTCACTAATGAATAATTACTAGAGAAGATTTCTTTCTCTCTCTTCATGTTCTTATATGAGGTAAACAAATAACATAACCTTGAATCAAATTAATAATAAGAAACTAGAAGAATTATGTGTATACCTTAAATATATTTTTGCAGTCAATATTATGATAGATTCATTGAAGCAAAATATATGAATTGTAAATCTAAAAGCGAATAAATATTTAAATTAAATTTTGTCAAATTATCGAATTAAATCAGATTTTAATGCCATAATTATGAACGATAAGAGTAGTGGATAAATTAATAATATGATGTACTGCCAAAAAAGGAAGATGAATAGAGAATACAAATCAAATGAACGAAGCGAGTATGTCAATTGATAAGGAATGTAGATGTCGCATAAAGTTGGTAAAGAAGAATGAGTAGAAAAAAAGAGTTATATAACAAGATGAACAGTTAACATAAATAGTAATCTATCAATAAATAAAGTTAATTCTATCATCTGCAAAGAAATAATTGCTTACTGTTGACCAAAAGTTTTGGCAATAT